CAGTAACAGAGTAAGTCGACTGGCTACTGACTACTGGCTACTGGCTACTGGCTGTGTGACAAATGGTATTTGCATATGCATATGTGCGGAATGATATATGGCCCTGCATATGCATGAGGAGGATTTTCCTGGCGCCGACTTCAGGGCCAAGTCCTGTGCCGAGTCGATCTCAACTAACTTGGCCGAGCCGAGCCGAGCCAAGTCATTCATTAAGAACCAAGACCAAAACCGACTGGCCAAGCTCATTGCATATGCAACTGGCATATTGGTTGTTCTTTTTTTACTGTTGCAGTTGCAATTGCAGTTGCAATTTGTAGCTGGCTTATCCGATCACTTTTGCTAATTCGTAGCACATTCGAGGCGCGAAAACAACAAAAGCTGGGAACGTGGCGCCAAAACAAGAAATCATTGTGGAAAACGATTGATTTTCCATAAGCAGCCGTAGTCCGGAATGATTCATGAATGGCATTTCGTGTAATTTCGCCATGGGAAAGGCGCATAGCACTACTTAACCGTAATTGCCTGCAACTGTCTGGGGGTTCTTCATTTGGCCGTTCTGAGGCTGATCACGAAAGAACTTTGTTATTTCTTAGCCAGACTAGTTAGGGTATACCTGCAGAAGCTCATAATAAGACTCATTAAAGATAGGGCCACGATTTTTGTAGGTCGACAGGTATAGTATTACACAAGCATCATTAAACATCGTCAGATCTTCATCATATATTAATATATACAATTTTAACAATTCCTTTTTTTTATGGCCTTTTTTTTTAAACAGCAAATAAATATTTGACAGAGAAATGGGAAAATATAAACTCGTTTTGCAGAAATCCGCAAGAAGCTTAAAATATATTTAGATATAAACTTAAACGGATTTACTAATTTTGTGTTTTAATCAAATATTAGTGTTCAGGTTTTGGTATACTTGTGTTTTTAAATAAGATTTTTTAAGTATTTATATTTTTTATGCTAATAACTGCATTGTGAAACAATAGAATTTGTATTAAATCGAGAAACTTTTTTCGGTAAATACGCAAAACAGCTAAAAAATTATTAAAACAATAGCGTTCCTGTTGAATTGGACCAACAAATTAGTGGATTAGTTTTTGAACGTCATAATTTTGAAGATATATATTTACGTTAGTAAGTGAGTAATTGATGGTTCTCTTCACAGTAAGGGCTTTGTGGAACTACAAGAATTTTTAAATGTTTTATAGACTTAATGGGCTAATTCGATTTAAAAATGCTAAATATAGTAAAGCTGCGATATTAATGAACTTCCAATCACGATTGAACTAGGGCCAGTCGTGGATGGCTAAGAACTAAGAACTGGACTGGACTTAAGGGCCCTCTGTTATCGGGGGCGAGGGTCAGGCTGATGACTTGATTGAATTCGCATAGGCGCTAGATGGGCTAGATGGCTCATAAGCAATGCAGCTGGCGTAGGCCAAGTTAGTTGGAGCGTGGTTTGGGCAGCACGACAACGACAAAGAGGCACTTTGGCTACCAGAATGACAAGCCTCTTGTTATGCACGAGCTGCGTTCTTGTCTGGGGCACATTAAAGACACATGAATGGCCCGGCAATAAATATTATTAAAAATGTTTGCCTTTATGGCATGCTAAACGCGATGGCAGCAGCAGCAGCAGCAACAATTGCGACACTAAGCCACCATAAGCCTATTATTTAATTTGCCCAGTGGATGGCGTCGACGGTGGCGGTGCAAATGAACTTTTAAAGCGCCCGAAAAGTAGACAACAAAAAGAGGAGTCGGAGGAAGTCAGACGACTTGGCAGGACGAAAGGAAAGGACGACGAGTCGCGCCAGCATCATCAGTCATCACCCTCGCCGGCAAAGGCGACGATGCTTCTCGCTTTTTGAGGGTTGCAAAAGGGAAAAATTCGCCAAATAGAAGATACTTTATGTTTTTGGCAAACAACAACTGAAACAGACGCAATTCGTTACGGTCAGCTACAGATACTTGTACTGATACGCGGCAAACAGACGAAGACGAAGTGCCGGGGGTAGTGCTTAAGCCATAGAGATTCTATAGAGATGTCTACACACGCTTTGGACAGCACACCAGGGTTGCCAGCTTGGCCAGATACTCAAAGAGAATGTTCCAAAGGTCAAGAACCGGAAACTGCTTAATTATGTAGGCTCTTGCTACTTTTACTTCTTCCACTTCTTGTTAGAAAACTCTTTGTAATGCAAACTAAAAGTATTTGTTATGAATAAATTGAGGAAAATCAAACATTTTATAGCAATTAATGTTAGTATATTTAACTCTTTCATAAACGGTGAAGAGAAGAACAAAATACATCATTAAATATATTTCAAAAATTAAATAACTCAACTTTTTGTATCAATAAAAATAATCACAAATATTAAATAATGTATATTTAACACTTATTATAAACAGTGCAATGGATAGCAAAGAACTTGCTTTACATTTAGCTAAACTTATAAATTATAGAAACAATTCAAGACTAACTACAGCTAGATAAAATCTAAATAAATCTTTCTATAATCTTTGTCAAACAAAAGTATTTGATTGTAATATATTGAAGCGAATTTTGTAGCTTGATAAATCAACTGAAATAAAGCCTTCTAGCCTTTGACTTTTATTAAAAATAATAGTACAAAGATAAATTAATCTTTAAACCATTACGGAAAATTTTAAATTAAACTTCTGTTTAAAATGTTTTTGTACCTTTAAAAGCTGCCTTTATTTCAATGGTTGTTTTTGCTGGCTATTTTCAGTTCGCCACTTAGCTAATCGTTGGCTGGCAACACCATCTCCATCTCCCGTCACTTGGCAACAGCGTAAAACTTTTGATGGCCAAGAAGACAACAAAGTCCAGCCATTGGTCATGCCAAAGTCAAACATTTTTCTGGAAATCAATTTACCGAGGAGCTACACTTTCATGTTAAATCAATTGAACTCAGGCGTGCGTGGAGTGTCACTCCTCGGGTATTTCGAATTACGAAATTCTGGAATGGAATTGTTGCTGGTCAAGAGTGACTGGTTACCGTTAGTGCGGCATGGCATTTCATGGCATAACATGGCCGAATGCCCGCAGCTCATCCCGCTAACAAGGCTAATTGGTCATGAAGCCTCTCGACTCGCGACATTCAATTCTGGAGTGGACTTGGCCCTGTACAGATCCTGTTTTTTCCTGCTTTCCTGTTTTCCCGTCCACCCACCTGTCCAAGCGGTGTGACACCTGTCACATCTCACAATGGAAATCAGTCGACATTTGCCCCTGGACGAGTCACTTCTGGCCGGCCCGGCGAAAACTGTCGCTGGCAATTTATTTACTCAAGCGTTTGCACTGGTTGTCCTGGTTTTTTGGTCTGGTTTTGTTGCCACTTGTGGTGGTCCTGCATTGCATGGCTCACTTAAAACACAAAACAGGGTGAGGAAAACCCCAGAAAGTGAGTTCATCGCAAGAGAGGATTTAAATCTTCAGACTTAATGGTTAACGATTTTAATGACAATCGTTTGGCGACAGGTATTCTATATATGAATCATGATTCACACGGCCAGACAAAAACACAAAAATCCCAATCTGCGTTCGGAAATTTTTCTCGCCAGCTCTTTCGCTGAATTACGATGAGAAATGAGCGCACAAAGAAGTCGAACAACATATAGTAAACCAAGTTTCGAGTGCCCTTTTGCTTTTGCACCCTATGCGATTGAAGCGCAGTGCCACCCACAAAGTCACTATTGCCCACCCATGACCTCTGACCTCCACCTTCTATTCTCTTTCTCGCCCTTTGCATGTCCGGCATTTCGCACCGATTGCCATTAAATTTGCACGTATAAAGCGAAAATGACAAAAATATTTCATGAAAACGAGACGGCAGCAACAACAGAAACACCAGAATCCAAAACTCAGAATCCAGAATCCAGAATCAGCGGCAGCATCCCAACAAGAACTCGAGTCACAACCAGAGCAAAAACATACACACAGCAGAAACAACAACAGGCGACAATCGACAAAAGTTGGCAACACGTAGTCCGGATTGGCTTTGTAGACACTGCAAAAAATCGTATCCTCTAAGAAGGTTCACAAAAGGAATATATCTTTAGTTTAAGAAGACCAGTTATAATAATTTTAAACCGTTAAAAATAAAATAATATATATTTTGCAAAAATACTATACATATTATATACCAAAATACTTTTGTAACTTATATTTTATTTGTCTAACAACCTGTATCTTTCTGCCAAAAAGTGTAGTCTTTTTTTTAAGTTCCAAATTACATTGGCTTACGGATTCCGCAATATATGACGCCAACAAAATATTGGTATGGTTTATTTGTTGAAAAACAAAGTACTTTAAAATCATTCAGTCTTATCGATTGATATTCTTAGCCCCTTATTGATTAGGTAGAAGGAATTAATAAAGTCAAATTGTACTATTTTAGAAATAACATTATATAAATGCATTGTTATTGATAAATATTTTGTAAAGAAGTTAACAATAAAACGAAACTTAAAAGTTCTATTATGTGCAAAAATTAAAAAAACTGTTTTTAGAGACCTTTATGTAAATTACAAGAAGACATTAACAAAATCAATTGGCATATCCCTGCTTTCAATGAGAATAAACCTCCAGAACCCCGTTTCTTTAAGTGAAAGAATAGCAGTGACTGCTATTGCCATTAGACTGTATGGTTCGACTGCCGGGAGCGGGTGGTTTTTATTCCTGGCTTTTCTTTATGGCTGATGCTGCTGCTGCTGTTGTTTTTGTTGCCGAGGTGATTGGTGTTCCATGCTGGCAATGCGACAAATTCCCCGCTCAAATGTTCGACACGCGCCGGCGCATTGGGCCAAAAAAAGCCAGACCGCTGCTGGACCAAAAGGACCAAGAACAAGAACTGAAGAAGAACTAGAGGCTGGAGCAAAAGGATGCCGGCAAAGCGGAAATGTTCAGTTCATTAGCGAAACGTGCGCGTCGTGTAATGGACGTGCCGGCTTCTATTTGGCTCTTAAAAAAATCTTCAAACGGTTGGTAGCATTCGCTTTGGCCATCTAATTTCGAGTAAAGTAAAGTGAGTGAGTGAGTGAGGAGAGCGCGCGCGCGACTTCTTCTTCAATTTTTTGGCTAACAAAAATAAAAAAAAACCAAAAAAAAACGGGGAGACAAAGCCAAGTGCGAAATTGCCAACTTGGCGGCGGAGTAATTAAATAATTAATTGAAACGAACAAAGGAATTTGGCAAACAATTAACTGGCTTTAATTATAGAAAAGGTCAATACTCAGGGAGTCACGCACTTTTCGGCTGTGTGAGGAATATGAATCCGTAAAGTTGGCCAAGAACCGGTTGGCCCTTCAAACCATATTTGTCGTGTGTGTCTTGTTTAATTTAGACACCTGTGCCATGGATTTTGACTAGGTTTACTCCTGAGTTTTTCTCTTTTTTTTGGTTTTTTTTTTTTTCTTGGCTCAAACCGCAAACAGCCGCTTGATGGCCAACTGACTGAGTAGCAAAAGCAGCCAAAGCAGCATCATCATCATCATCTTCTTGGCCAATTCTTCCTCTTCTTCTTTGGCTGGCCATGACCACGAAGTTGCCAACGAAGACCAAGAACTTGCCGAGAGAGTCGGGTTTTTTGGACCAAAGTTACATGCTCGCCGACGTTGCTGCCGCCGTCGCAGTCGACGTCGCAGAAAGCCGGCTTCCAAGAGCAGCAACTGCGCTGCAGCAGCGACGCCGACATCAACGTTGGCAGAGCATGTAGCGAGATCCAATTGATGAGTTGTTTGCACAGAGCATTTGAGTGTATTTGTTGTTGGTTCTTAGCCGCTCTCTTTCGCTCTCTCTTCGCTGCAAATTGTTGCTGCTGCTGTTGCTGCTGGTGCTGCTGCTACCTCTGCCGGCGTCGCTGCCCGCTGCGCTGCCAGTACTTTTGATTTTCAAACAAAAAAAAAATCGCCGCGCTACGTAGGCTATATAAATAAGCAGCGAGAAGCTATTGGGTCCGAGTCTCTTTGAATTTTATGAAGCGGTTGTATCTTGGTGGTGCCCCAAGCAGCCGAAACGAACCGCCAACAGAACCTCTCCTCAGTTGGCCAAAACCATCACCGTTCTTTTGCCTTTTACCTCTCCAGTGGAACAGCGGATTACCTTTTGCCCTTAAAAACATAAAAAAAAAAACAGAAAACTGTCAAGTGAAAATAAATTAATAACGAGTTGAACAAACCCATAAAGTGCGCGAAATGTTGAGCTACGTGTAAAAGCGACTAAAAGGATCCTATAACTCTGTGAGACACAAATTAAACATACAAATCGGGATAGAAAGTTAAAGCTAGTGATCCCATTGTATTCGGAGAGTTCTAAACGACGACAAATCGTTCTGTTACTTGAGTGAAAAAAGGTGAGTTTCGACCAGCGAGTGTCCTTTTCGCAGGATATTCCAGTATTTCTCGTCCTAGAAGATTTACAAGAAAAGATTGGTGTAATTCAAAGTGCTTCTTCCAAAAATCTTAAAAATCATCATTCAACAAATATGATGAATTAAAAATATGTGAAAAACCGCAGCTAAAAATTATTAATTTTTATTTGAAAAAATTAAATTCTTATAAATTCTAATTTTTAGCTTAAACATTTTTTTTAATTTAAAGATTTGGAATTTCCTTATATTCAACAGCTGAGTTGATGTTTTTTAAATTATAAATTTATTCACATGTCTATAATAATTTTTTTAAATTATAATTCCTAAACAATTTTAATACTTTGACTTTTTATTTAAGGCCATCTTAAGAAACTACTTTATTTTAATAGTTTTAAAGACGTTTTAATCATATTGCTTTTACTTAAAACATTTTGAATTTGATCGTACAAGAATATGTGCAAAGTTAAGAAATGTCAGATAAATATCCTTTTAACAAAAGATGATCAATCGATTACTACCAAATATGACTAACATGGCCTTAGCAATTTAAAAAAAATACATCTCCAACTTCTATCGCTAGTAATAATAATTTACTTACGGGCAATTTAAACCGGTGTTATATGCACATGTGTGACGCGTTGCGCAATTGTTTAAAGCCCGATTTAATAATTATTCATTTCCGCGACATTTCCCCCTTGTGGGGTTCTTGCCATCGATTCCGAAGTCCCCACAACTGGGGTGTCAACTCTTTCTAGGGCAAAAACCAGACCTCCCATTAAGGCCGTTTCACAAAGTGGTCGGGAGGGAGGGGTGGGAGCCTGCATAAGCCGCTTTAATCTTTACGGCAGCCAATTAATAAAAATTAATTTGCTTACAACGAACTTAAAGCGAAAGCCAACCAGGCGTTAAAACGGCCTCAAAGTTATTCATTCATAAAAATAGGAGGTTCGGCTGCTGCTGCTGGCGCTGGTGCAAATTGCTGCCATTCAGTCGGTGGCTGGCTCATTCATCCACAACTCACTGGCTGCACCACTGCACCACTGCACCGCCACCGCACCACTGCACCGCTAACGTAACTGCCACGCGCCGCGGCCCAGACCCAGACTGCCTTTTGGCCTTTCGGTCTTTTGGTCTTTTGGCCACGGCCATTGTGCAAATAGTTTCCGCATGCACAGGCAAAAATGTGTTCTTTGCAGCAATCCAATTTAATAAAGAATTTTTTCTGCCCTCTTAATGATAGTGCATATTAAAATAAGAATTCTTTGGCCAAGCTACTGAACAAATCTTTCTGTGCCACAGAATTTTGAAGCTCGGATTTTGATTGTAAAATATCAAAATAAGTCTACTTCGCTTTTTTAGTTTATTTTTATTTATTTAATAAAAAAGCCTCTCTGATTAAAATCTTTCCAGAGTTTGGAATTCTTTGGATAGATTTGAACTAAAGTTTCAAAAATTTCAGTAATTTCTACAAGAACATTTTAAAAAGTTGCAATACTTTGGATTGATATGAAATACATTTTCATAGATTTAGGTAACATTTCCTCGACAATTTCTAGAGTTTCGCATTTTTTGGATAGTTTTGATTTACAATTTAATAGGTCTCAGTAACTTTTTTACACAAAATGTATACAGTTTGGAATTGTTTGTATCATTATGGATTACAAATTACAATGTTATAGATTTAAGTAACTAATGCTAGACAATTTCAAGAGTTTGGAATTTTTTATTCAGATTTGAGTTACAATTTAATAGATTTTCAGTTATATGTCTTGGTTGTAAAACTTCTCTAACTGATTTAAATCTTATCTAATTTTTAACTAAGCCGATCTGTACGTGAATATTTTCCCTGTGTGTTTTTGGGGTAATTTATATAAAGCCTGCTCCTGGGCAAAATTTTGCAAAGAGTCTGCTCTAATTAGAATTTATGCCCACACCAACTGGCGCGGAGCTTTAAATGGCCAACAGGCCAGCAGCGTCGACATTTGTCAAACTCGTAAAAACTAAAATTGCCGGAATGTAAAAGCTTTTAGTTAGCCATAAATAATACAAACTATGAGCCCGACGAGACCGACCCCGCACGAACGAAAAAGTCCCATGAAATAAGAGCCAAAACGATATATTTATAGTAGTTACAAGTGCAGAGGGTTTTTGGTTTTGGTTTTGGTTTTGGTCCTGGTTCTCCTTTCTCCTTTCAGTCGGGGGCTCAATAAAAAATGCAAATAAAGCGCTGCCGCAATATGTGGCCATCGGGCCCACTCCAATTGCCATCCTCCAACTGGCTGGCCAAACATTTTCAACCTGAAATGACTTTGAGTGTTATTTGGTTTGCCAGAGATTTCATTGGCAGCTGGCCAGAGAATTGGAGTCTGACATTTGAGGGCCCTGACCATGACTGGACTACCCAGCAGCAGGTGTTTGGTTGTGGCTCCCTTTATTGTTTTTTCTCTTTTGCTATTTCTGGCCATGTAAAAGTGTCCTTTTGGTCGGAAATAGTGTGATTTATAGAGGATTTCTAGGGGGGAGGGTGGTGTGAGAACAGGGCCAAATTTGACATTGGGTTTGGTTTGTCTGCAGCGGCGCCAGCAGGAATACAGATTTATTGATGAGCCAACAGGAAACATGGCCAATACGAGTATCGGAAACGGAGTCTAGTTGTAGTTGCGGCTGTCGTTCTGTGGTTTCAGCATTTTTTCAGTACTTCAGTTTGTCAGAGATTCCATGGCACATCTGCTGCAGCATTTTAATTAAAAATGCCTGAAATGTCTCGCGCGGAGTCACTGGCATTGCCAATAATGACATAAATGCCTCGACTTAGGGCACTTTAAGTTGTGTGGTTTCGGCTGCGGTTGGGGATTGAATAAAAAGCGGAGGCATCACTTCCGCTGCCGCCGGGCTAGAAATATATATATATATATAGAAATAGAAATAGAAAGATAGATAGGCAGAAAAACTTTGCTAGGAACTCCACTCCATCATCACTCAGGGGAGCCAAAACGGAAAGTTCGACACTTTGTTGCCAACGAAGTTCTTCGAGCTTATCGCCGGCGCACGCTGCGTATGCTTAACTTCATCCACCTGAGGGTTTGATGAACTGTAGCAGATCCGCAACTTTCCATAGTCACTTTCAATATCGCATTAATTTATGCCTTTGTCTAGCTGCTTTCTTTGTGACTTTATATGTTATATGTGCACGAGTTGGGCTTCCTTCTTCGGCGAAAATTATCATAACAATTATTCGGCTTCTTGGGCTCTTTAACTTTTATGTTAATTTATTTTAATTTTCGTCTCTTGGAAAGAAAGATTAAAGCAGCTGCGGAGGACTGTGCAGAGAAAAAAAGTCTTTAAAATATTTAATTGGCTTGGCAAGCAGCTACTATTTTAAGTTATGATGCGGGCATCGGGGCACACCTGAGCTCTGACATCAGCCGACCAGAACATCAAAACATCGTGTCATCATAAAAAAAAAAGATCACAAAGAAAGGAGCCATCGAGGGAACATCCGACAAATTACATAATAATAGGCTGCTGGTCCAGGCTAATGTCTCATTGTTGGGCTCCCTTTTTGCCGTTAGGCAGCGAGAAATACTGACTAAAACTGACAGGAGGAGGCTCCACCTCCATCACCATCAGCATCCACAGCGCATAATTTAATTAGACCCGCTGTATGCAAATGATATGCTGCGCTAATTGAGTGAAAAGCTGTGCTAAAGCCTAATGAGCCGCGGCCAGGTCATGCATCTCGTATATCTACTATATTATATCATTCATCTCGTATCTGACGGATGCAAGCGTAACTGCCACACTGGGCTATCAGTTAATCCGATTACGAGCGTGTCTGTGAACCCATAACACACAAGAACAGGGCCTGTCAATGGCCAATACCATTGGATTATGGCCAGGGTTTATGGCCTTAAATATGCAGAAATTATGTCATACTCGTAGGGGTAGAAGTTTTTTGTTTTTTGTTCTAAATATAGAAACCAAAAATAAATTTAATTAAATAATATTTTTTGTACAGATATCAAGGTTTCTTAACTCTTCGCTTAGAACTCAATAAGTGATTGAATTCTTCTTCCGTGCTTAATGACAAAAAATAAAAAATCTTATTACTTTTAATTGCTAATAAACATAATTAACTAAATAAAATTTTAATGTTATTCCTGTGCCAAGCAAAATTGATGGATTTATGTTTGAGTTCATTTTTAAAATTAGACAAATGACAAATGTCTAAACTAATGGTTTCTTCGCTGCCCCTGATAAATGTATTAATGTATATCAATCCATTAGCAGTTTTGAAATATTATCTATCCACTGGAGATAACCAAAGATGCATGTTCAAGAGACCGACTACAAATTAAATTGTGACGTTGGCTTATTTTTCATCGCCTATTTTCACCTTGGGCATTTTCTGCGCACAATTCAAAGGAACTTAAACAAAACCAAACCAAACCGAAGCAAACGAACATCATTCCCAGTGACTTTTTGTGTGATTTTAAAGTTTAATTGAGTAAATCGGTTTATGTGCGGCATTAGCATTGTGTGGCTCTGGCTTTTTCGTTTCCATGGACCCAAACACAAGCCCAAACTCGCCGGCAAAGAAAGTAAGCGCAACTAAGCACATTACGACTAAGCGGCGACACTTGTCTCGCATTACACCCAAGTAGCCAAACGCCCAAGTAGCCAAGTGGCCAAGAAGCCAAGGTTAAATCGTGGTCTAGAACCATGGAGCACGGATCTATGGTGGCAAGAACTCAAGACTTTAAAGTGTGTCGTCGTGGGGCGCAAATTTCTCTAACCCAAATTGTTGTTGCCTACCGAAGTTAGTGAAGTTGCTGCTGCGATCTGGTTTGCAGCCGATGCTTTCGAGCTTCAAGTTTCGAGTTCAATAGCCAAAGAAAGTGTCAGACGGTAGAAAGAAAAAGTGTGCGGAACCAAATGGCGGCATAGATTCCGTTTCGTCCCACCTGGCGTATGCGTAATGC